TGTTTAGTATCAATTTATTTCATAGTCAACCGTTCTCAAATTCTTAGTGAGACTGTGTCAAAATGCGGATTTCACAAAAAAAAAATTGTGCACAATGTGAAAAACTAATATTTTTCCTTTAAATGAATGTAACGGAATTTTCTGTAATTAAATGTAAAGTAAATGCTATGTGCTTCTAGAGGATATGGTGACTATTTTTCATATCAGTGACTTTGTCACAGAATGGTTTCTTTCTGAAATCTTTATTCTGTGTGAACTTTCCACAAAAGAAATGAAAACACACAAGTGGACAATTATGGACCATATTATAAACATTTAATCACCCCATTTTCACCGGAAAAGCTCCCCTAACAGACCACAATAAATTATTTGTGTACAGGGTGACTTATAAGTATGTTAAAGCCAATGTACATTTGGGAAAAAAGAATCTGTTTTGAGACTAATTAAAAACATTTGTGAGACATTACTTAAATCTCTGCAATTTCTTCATGAAGTTGTTTGAGAGACTTGACTGTATTTTTCTTTTTCTATCTGTTAAATTATCTGTAACTGTCTGTACTCATGAATCTCTTGTATGATTTTGAATGGGAGGAATTTTCAGGGATTGTGCTGAGTTGTATCGTCTGTCTCATATTTGTGCAGGTTAATCCAGAATCCTCTTTTCAGGGCTGGATCTCCACCCATGGGCTGGATGAGGGAAATGGAACAGGTTTTGGCTGGTCCCTTGCTTTTCTTATTTTACAGAGAGTAGCAAATCAAAGAACATTACAAACTCTCTCTTGCCACCAATATATTGCCCTTGGCCACAACTAATCCAACATCTAGTTTGATGTACTATAGAAACCAACCAAACAAACCTCTTTTATATTAAAGTCTTTGTGTCTCTCCTTTTTTGATGGAAACTACAAATTCTGAGGTTTGCTTTCTGACAAGTCTGATTCCTTTAATTCAGGAAAATGTTTCTTAGTGTTTTTCATATCTCTCTGTGTCCATGCTTCTATTTGGAGTGTGGATTTCTTAAAACTCACGTCTCATACATGTTTTCTTAAAAATAAACTTTGAGCATGGACAGTAAGTGAACTCTTTTAGAGTTTATAGACTCTGGAGGTTTGTGTTTGTTCTGGAAGATTTAATATTTGACTGTTAAGTAGTGGTAAGAGTGCAGTGGCCGTGTGGTACCATCTAATCCAGGTCTGTGTTTCTCTCCCAGTGGCTGCATTACAGACTCTACATTCTGCATAAATCCCACCTTCTTATGTCATCGTTCTTTTGGTAAGTGAAACCTTAAGCAGCCTTTGCATCTAAAGACCTTGTTGGCTTTCTTTTTTTTTCCTTCTTTTCCATATGCTTGCCAGAGCTTTTTGTGTTCCAGCATCTGCCTTCTGATCACACATTGTTTGTGCTTCAAATAGGGAGCTGACCTTATTCAAGGTTGCAGACAATACCTGGCATATGGTAGCTACATCATGGTTTGTTACCACCCTCAGCTCTGCTAAAGCACCCAGAAATCATTTGGGTATTGACCAACACAGGTGAAGTGGTGTCAGGAAGATTACTTTTCTGTCTAGGGATGTGTCAGCTGTTAGATTTGCTTGACCACTCTGTTTTCTGACTTACATGAATGTGGTAATGGCACAAATTAAAAGGAAAGAAATCTTTAGGAGAGATGAGTTTTGAAGACTGTATAGCTCTTCTCTTGATTATGTAGGTTGGTCCTTTTGTAGACGCAGTATGAGATGTAGCTTCAGTAAAAATGTAGCTTCTTTTATCCCTAAACAGCACATGATAAAACCGTGACATCCCACCTTTTTTCTTTTTATGGACTTGAAGCATTTGCAGGGTTTCAAATCTGCACTGAGGATATTTTATCTATTTTATCTTTCAGATGTTGTTATCTCATCAGATATATGATGTAATGCAAAGCTGGCTTTGACTAGGTTTTCTTGAGGTTAGGGTTTTTTGACGAGGTTTTCTTGATAGGAACTAAATCTGGGTTCAGCAAAAAGTTTGTTGGATTTTCAATATCAATATCATTAGAAGAAGTTAGGTCAGAATAATGTATAGGAGTAGGGACAGGAAGTATAAGAAAAAGAATGCAAAGATGGAAGAGTGTAGTTTGGAAGCCAAAGCACGAAACAATGTGTGAAGGAGAAATTTTATTTTATCTTTTATAAGAGGAAATTAATAATGTGGTGGTGTTATAGGAAAGAAATAATCTTTATATAAAAATCCTGATATGAAAGGTGCTGGAAGAAGCCACTTGTAGCAGATTGCAGATTTTTATTGGTCTAAATAGCCCAGAGGTTGTACTATTTCCTGCAAACTTGAGCTTTTGTGACTTCGTTAATTATCAGTGAAAGAGGTGTGGGGGATCCCTGAGTGAACATGCAACAAATAACAATTTGTACTGAGTATCAAGTTCTCTGTTGGTTGAAACCATGTTTATTCTTAGTCTGAGTTGTCTGTGCAACCCTCTTCACACTTTCTGTTTCTACTGTATAGAGTAGGAGCTATTGCAACAGCAGAACTAAGTGGGACAGGAAAAATCCAGTTTTGGATTTAATTATTTGTTTTTAATGCCAACTTTTGGTTGCTGTATTTCTTTCTGTGAATTACATGAGTTAGTTTTATGTGTGCTCACTTTTTGGGAGGATGAAACCCAAGTTATAGGTGTGGGCAAATAATTTTAAGCACCTTAAAATTTTCACCATGGAAAAATTAAACCACTCTAGTGATTATTAGGGACTACAAGCACACCAATTCTATATTAATACACCAATATAATTACTTTGTCCTGCTCCTTTCTTTGTGAGTAACTAGTAGGTGGTAAGTAATCTCTTTTTAAGCTATTTCCCCCTCAATATGTCAGAGGAATTATTTGAAATAATTATGAAAGAGACATAGAATATAAATGCCAGAATAGATGTAGATGGGAAAATATTACTACAGAGGGGTTTTGTAATATGTTGGAAATGTCATTTATGGTTCTGTTTTAATGAATGGGTAATTAGTTGGCTGAACATCGGTTCACTTCTTAATGAAATCTTAGTGGATTAACTCTATGCTTCATTCATATTATCCTACAGAATTTTTCTGCCTTTTTTATAATGAATAATCTTTTTGTGGTATGCCAGTATGAAAAAGAAGAATGTAGAAATTTTCTACTTTTGTGCTGTTAAGTGCATTTGGAGTCTTTTTTAAAAATGCTTAAAATACGTATGGTGGTGCTGTTACTATACTTCTTTCTGCAGAAACAACCTATTTGGATATTAATTCTTACACCTGCATTTTCTGCATGGTTTTGGTTTTGTTTAATTATATTTTTATATTCATTATCATATCATTGGGTTTTATTCTCCCTTTATTTGCCTACTGACATCATTTAAGAGTTTTCACCTTTAGATATCCAGATTCTTTTGTTGAAGGATCTCTCCTGTCCCACACAGCAGGAGATCTCTCCCTGGATCCAAGCAGGACAAGAACAGGACATTCTGCTTCTTGCATTTCTCAGCCCCATGGGTTGAATCCAGAAAACTGTGATTTTGCTATTGCACACAGTTTGGACAAAACTGTTGGTTTATGGTTGTCAAACCTCTTAAACCTGTCTCCTATCTGTGCTATCAACTGGACAATCCTGACAAATTGCATTCCTGAGCTTTCAGGTTCAGTTAGGAGGCTGAATTTGGAGTTTATGGTTGATATAGTACAATTATACATTAAATTTTTCCAGGTTCAGAGTAGGAAGTGTGTAAAGTTTCATAAAATCAAATACTTATAACACTTCAGATTGTCTCTAAATTCAAACTTTGATTTCAAATTCTTTGTATTTTGAATCCTATGAAACTTTAAAAATCTCAAATACAGATGTTGAATGTTGAGCCTCCCTAAAAGTACACAAAGAAAAATCAATTCAGCTCTTTGCTTTTCCTTATATATGAACCTGTTCCTGTATGAAATATGTTTATTTTCACAAGAGCTTTTAAAAGGTAAACTCTCCTTTTTGCCTTTGTTAGTGTGCATGACATTTTTCTTATATACATACACTTTACACTTAAGTGTTTTCCAAAATGTTTTTCTGGTTGTCTAGAAGTTTACCAAGACTTAAAAAAACCCCAACAAACTACCCCTATTTAATATTCAATTAAAAATATAAACATATATCTGCTGATTTTACTTTAAAAAATACTTTTAATTTACCAGATACTGCTGCTGGTTACATTATAACTTTCTGTAGCTTTACGTGCTTACAAAAAACAAGGTTTCAGCTAAGATAACTTGGATTTGTAATTTGTTTTCATTTTCTTTTATTTACTGTCTAGCAAAGTGCTATTTGCACTGAAATTTGACATCTCAGCTGAACCATTATATTCAGCTGTAATTAGAATAAACTATCTGCATGAATTACTGTACATTGGGTTTAGAGATTTGTTTGGAGACAACCATTTCTTACCAAAGCACAGACAGCAATTTGCTGTCTAACTTTGTACATTTGCAAAATACATTTAGTGTAAAATTAATTAGGTCATTAGAAACCTATTATCTTGTCTCAAAGAAACTGATTTTAAAAGTAAGCATGTTTTCTGTGAAAGGTGACAACTTTGAATTCAAATCCAGTTGTGATTCATTCTTCAGGCTTTGTTCTTGCTTTTCTTCATCAAAACAGAGAGGCATAAAAGCAGGTTAGAAGTAGCTCTCAGTATTGTGGTAACACTGAAAAAAAAAAATAATTCTTTAAAGGCCAACTTTAGTGTTTGATGACATTAATTGAGTAGTGTCCAATCCCGGAAAAATAGCATTTTCCCTCCATTTTAAGAGTTGTCCAAATACACAGAGGAATTTTAGATAGTTCTGCAGTGTTCAGAACAAGTGCAGAAGTCAGGATAATAGGGAAAGGTGTGTCTGTGAACTACACAAAGAAGGTTTTTTTTTAAAATTAAGTTGAATACTCCTGGTGACACGTGAATTGCAGCTCTAACCTAAAGCTTTTCTTGTCTCTACAGTCGTGTCTCCATTCTGAAGAGATCGACCCTTGGTGAATGTCATAGATTAAATTAGTTTATGATTTCCAGTACAAGTTTGAGCATTATCTTTAGTACCTGATCTGTAATGAAATTTTCAAGAAGAGAAAGAAAATCTGGGGAGTTCCAGCGGCCTGCTCTCAGCTGTATTTTGTCTTACATACTCTGTTTGTACTCCTTCCATACTGCTGAATTGCCTAGAGACAAATTGGCCAGTTTATGCCTTACACCAAGATTGACATTTTTATGGTGCCCAGAAGACAGAGTTTTAAAATTCTACTGTTTGAAAAATTGTCCTGATATTGGAGGGGAACAATCCATGGTTCTGTGAAAGGGAAGGCCATAGTATGCTACTGAGGAAGAAATAGTTTACCTGTTCAAAAAGTGGTTGAACTGAGGTCTTCTGAGTTGCTTAAGAAATTTCGGCTCCTTGGTTCCATCTGATAGAAAAAATGCTCTCACAAAGGGATAAGCATTAAAGCTTGGACTAACTGTAAGTCTCTAAGTGTATGATGAGTTTAATACACAAACTGTTTCAGAATACAATCCTTTTTTTTTTTTTTTTTGAGTAATCGTAAAGGATAGCTGTTTGTTTTACTTCTGTAGCTATCTCTTAGCTTTCCTCACTCTTCCTACCTCCAAATTATGACTTGACTTTTAAAAATTTATATTAATTCCAATCTTGAGCATTTTGAAGCTCCTGCTGACCAGTAATGATGAAGCAGAAATAACTCCTGTCTTGTGGGTAAACTCTCTGATGGAAGCATCTTACAGCTCTGTCAACCCAGAGAAGGCAGGGGACTATTTCCTAATCCTTGCTTTCAGGTCCAGGTGATGCTTCTGTCCCCATGATACCTTCTGTCCCCTGCAGCTTGTTCTTGTAGTCACCGCTAAATCTTTTGCTGACTGATTCCTTCAAACAGATCCCTTCACCCTGTCTCAGTGGTTTCTTTAGTATCTCCCTCATTCTGTCCATTTCCAAAACAGATTATCTATAAAGAAATTGTCCATAATGAACCAGTCCTCCATGCAGGTTTTTTCTTTTCATGTTCTGCAATGCTTTCTCTCCACCCCTCAAAGCAGGGAACTCAGTGTAGACCCTTTTCCTCCCCAAACATGCTGTAGGCAATTTAACCAATTTCACTTCTCAACCAGATTTTTTTTTTTCAGTACATTTCTCTGTGCTTTCTTTAAAGCCACCTGCCTAGTTTTCCCTCTCTTTTGGAGACTTCCCTGCTGGGAGTCTGAATGCTGCTGATCATACAGGCAGGATTCAATTCAGAAAAACACAGCAAGCACAATTTACCTTTCAGCTTCCATTCCCTGTGTTGTGTCAGGGTTTTGTTTTTGCTTTCAGTGAATGCACAACCTTACCACAAATATTGTTTTGGCTGTCTTTAAAACATGGAAAAATTTCTTTTCATATTTTATATTCTAAATGTTTAGCACAAAACCCTAATAGACAAGTCCAGGAGCACTCTCAGTGTGGCAAAGAAGTATTTTACAATCAGACTACAGTAAGTCAAGAGATTGTATAGCATAAAGGAGAAAAATAGTCATATCTCATCTACTACCTCTGTTCTGAGTCAACAAACTAGAGGAAGAAGCAAAAACTATCAGGCTTTAGTAAGAACTGTCCTGAAGGAGCTGCTTCAAGCCCCCGTCCATTGAATGTGGCATTCCATGGAGTTACAAGCACAAGGCAACTTTCTTTTCAAGTAAAGGAAGGTTTTTTAGAGTAATTTGGAGAGAGTTGAATTAACACATCTTAGTCCTTAGATATTTATTAAAGGTATCTTAATAGGCACCTGTATTTTAATACTCTTTGTCTGAGACACTGTGTATTCAAATACTGAAACACTGAACTCCAGTACAAGTACAAACGTTTCATAGTGAGAAAGTGCATAATATTGATATAATCAAAACTTGGGCCCCTTTCTCAGGGTAAGACACAGCAGACTGACAGTGACTTCACAATTTTGCAGTGTAAGTTTATTTGACATAATATTCATCTGATATGTTACAAGCTAAAATATCATTTCTGCAGAATAGTCAGAATACAGTTAATTAGCAAAGCGCTGACCAGGCATAAACCCAGATCCCTCTAAAATGGGAAGATGACAGTAAGCTGATCCTGCAAGTTTCCTATGTTTTTAATTGTCTGCTTGTGGCAAGCTTGCCCAATATTGATGTGTTTGCATGGTGCAGGCACCAGTAGGTATCCTAAAAACTTCCCCCGAGAAACCTGAGGTAAACCTGACTTCAGTTGTGCAGATAAAATGCTGTACATCCTGCATGAGCCACGTTGTTGGGATTTTTCTTGGGTTTTGTGCTTGTTTGTGGGGTTTTTTTGGTTTTTTTTGTTTTTTTTTTTTAAGGCATCCTCGGTAAAAGGTCTTAAATACCTGAATTCATTCACCTAATCTCAGGGAGGCAGAAGATCACTGCAATTTTGCTTTGTCCTTTCAAAAAGCCCACAGATTTTGCTGACAGGCTTCTGCTTCCAGCTTGCAGTAATTGGTGGCAAACACAAAGCTAATTCCTTATTACACAGTATTTTCAGGGGGTTAATGGCTAAGCTGTTGAATGCAAAATAGTAAGCCAATGAAGTGGCTCCTAAGAGAACAAAGATCAGTAATTCACATTCTCCAATGCTACATTTCTGGTTTGTGTTTCTTATCTCTGTTCTCCTTTTTGTAGATTCACTTTATGTAAAGTAATGCATAACTAAAAGCTGTCAATAGTAAGTTGACATAGAACACAGTGAAGATTTGGTTATTGATATCCAAATTCTGTATGTTCATTTGTGTCTGTAGCTGTTAGGAACTCATAGTGTGAAAGAATTTTTAAAAGGGGAGACCTGAGAAAAATGAGTTATTTGCAGCAGTAGAATGGACATTTCACTTAGAGGAGGAGAATGAGAGAAAATTTAACACTTTTATCAAAGTTGTCTAGCTGCAATAAAAGAAAGTCATGATATTTTTAAAATCAGAAATAACCCCTTTTAATTTTACGGTAGATCTGAAGCTGGGGATGTGGAATGGAGAGAGCTGCACATCCAACAGCTGAACCAGCACCTTTAGCCACTGCACTGCCATCTGTTTATTGTTTTGTTTGTGGGGGTCGATGCAGCTGTGTGAGAGAGGTTGGGTTATTTATGAATAGCAATGCTAACAAATTAATGACATAACAAGCCTGCTGCAAAGGCACTGACCTTTTGAAAGCAAGAGCAGTAGCACAAAAAGGTTGACTTTATTAGAATCTATTAGATGTTTTCACAGCCAGTCCCAAGGGTGGAATTTCAGATAAGCGAGAACTGCAAAGCACCTGATGAGTCATTAGGAAGGTAAACCCCATTTCATGAGAAAAATTGTATATCTGATAGCAAGATCACATGCATGAACAGTATCTTCACTGTTCTAAATGCTTTCTGTTAATTTGAGCAAAATGTTGGAGGTTTTGTTTTGTTGGGGTTTTTTTTGTACAATAAATATTTCCAAATACTGGATAAAATTAGGGTGAGTTGCCATTTTTAAATCAGTGTACTGTCCCAGAATGATTTTGGAGAGCTTCCCAACTGACTTCTCTACAGGTTGTTGTTGTCAGCTGCCAGACCTCGGGCTACTTTTGTCACTTTTATCCTTATGTATTTTTTTTAACCAGTATAATCCACAGATTTAATGTGGTGGGTTGGGGTTTTCTTGGTTGTTGGGTTTTTTTGATTGTTTGTTGGGAGGGTTTTGAGTTTTTGTTTGTTTGGTTTGATTGTTTTTATGAGCACTGTCCTTTAGTTGCTGAGCAGAAAAGGGATGAAGGTACATGAGAACTCTTGAGGATATTTAATATGACCCTTAAATATTTGGTTTTGAAGTTTCTGATGATTTGTACTTTGTCAATTTGACTTAAAATTACTGCTCATACTATTTTCTGTTGGAAAATACCATATTCTACGTCAATAGAAAGTTCACTGTGATGTACATTTTTCCTGACATTCTACTGAATTGTTTGCCATGTATCCTGTTATGGATGTGTGATTAGTGCTTGTAAGAACAGTTTTGTGTGTCCTTTTCTCCCTCAGTCCTATTTCTGATGAAGTCTGTGAGAATACAGACTTGGATTTTGAACTTCACTACCGTCATTATCTTGTATTTCCATATGGAAATTGCTTTTCAGAACTCCAGCTGAGCCTTTGGGATGCCCCTTCTAGTTCTGTGTGCATTTTCAAGTGAGGTGAAAGCCTGCTTTTTGTTTCAACAATTATTTTTGGGTTGCTGAAATGGAGAAAAGACGATATAGATATATCTATCTCTATATATTTTATAAAAATAAACTTGACAATGAAAGAAGTGAAAGAATACGATTTGTGGCTCGTCCAAAAAGATGATTTAACCCTTAAAAGTGTCATGGCTATTGAGCAAGTAAATGTCTGATTTTTTTCTCACTGAATCAGTTAATGGAAACAATTAGGATGCCTATTTTGTGTGATGATCATGGATGAGAAGATTCTCAATATTGGACCCAAAAAAGAAAAAGCCTGCATTTTGTTTACCTTCCTGAGATGATCAGTGCTTTCAGAATGCAAGGTTCACTTTCAAAGCTCTTGTGAATATTAACGGACTTGAAATGTCTTAGAAATATTTAGGGCAAGTAAAATTCCACAAGGATCAGTTTATTCATTATTTCCCGACTCCATAGGATAATTATGTTGACTGATTCTTTACTAAACAATAAGTCTGTGCTTAAATTCAGTCAAATTAAGTTAGTTGAAAAGTTTATCTGCTTAAATGTGTAATTCTTTCATGGAAGTTTAAGGCAATTTCAGAGGGATGGCTTGTTAAGTCATAGTGGAGTAGAACACACTTCGTGGGAATTGTATTGTTGGTTATTCATTTAATTTTTAAAAATATCACAAATGCTTTTCCTTAAAATCTGACACATCTAAAGCTTAACAGTGTTTGCTAAATATTTTACAATCTGGGTAAGGAAACTTTACAGGATGGTGAGCAAAACCACTAACACTCCTCACATATGCAATCAGCAAGACTTGCAAGATGAAGGGGTAAAAAAAAAGCATGAGAGACCCTTGAGCTTAGTTTTCATGAGGAAGTCCACGAATCTACCTGAGCCATGTGGGGGTAAATGAGGCAGAGCTGCTTTGCTTTTTGATTTTTATTTCAGAGATGGGGCTTGTAGTAAAAGACTACTTGTATTCAGGGGTTTTTAAGTCATTTGAGGATAAAAAGTAAAAAAAATTGTGTAAGAAGAGTTCCCGGTGAAATGTGAGAAAGGGTGAAATCTCACAGAAATTGTGAAAATAAACCTGTGAGAGGTGAAAGACTGAAATGAGCCTGGAATAGTTTTTTTCTTTATTAATCCTGGTGTTCTCCTCCAAAAGAATGAAAAGACTGACTCTAAAGTCACAGCAAATGTGACTGATCTGATGTTGTATCAACAGCACAGTGGTGCATAATCCACGGATTGGGTGGTTCAGGATAACCAGACAAAACACACGTTAACTGTCACAGGAGAAACCTTTGGGTTTAAAAAAATGGTAAATATTGTTTCAAGTGAAACACAGGCAAAGATCAGGGTTATAAACCCCCATTTGAGGAATGTTGCTCTTATTGTGTATTATTGTCAAGAAAAGAATGACTTCAACAGAGACAAGACAGCTTGATTTAACTTCATATAAACTTCTTAGTGTATTGTATTCATTAATCTTGGATGTTATCTCTAAAAATAGCACTTGAAAGTGCCTATCAATTAGATTTTATGACATGAAAATGTCATTTCTGAAAGAATTGGATATTATACGAGATATGACAGTGCCCAGAGCCAAATTGGGAGCAAAACATTTCTATCTTTCCCTTAGGCATGGGTTGAACTCTTACTTTGGATATAGGTTAAGTTATATAGACTTAATAGCTGGTTCATTGTGTTTGGTTTGGTGTTGTTTGGTTTTTCTTTTGACTGATTTCAAGGTCATTAAAGTACCATTCAAAAGGTGTATCCAATTTCAATTGCCTGTTTTCGTACAACAGATTAAATTCAGGAATGAGAGAGATTGTAAATCAAGCAGAATTATCATAAATGTGTGTAATTTATAATGTAGTAGAAAAGATAGGAAAGATGTTCTGAAAAGTGGTTTCTTGTGGGCATATTAAAAAAAACCCTAAGCACATGTTTTTGTTAAAATTTATAAAGGATGGTTAAGTCATAATAAAAAGATATCATTGTAATAATATTGCAACTGTAATAAGGATATCAAGTGCTGTACACTCAGTGAAAGCAAAATGTGGTGAAAGTCATCTAGATTGGATCCTTTATACAGTACAAATATTTTCAATCATTAATGGCTTCCTGTTATTGTATTGAGTCCCAGATCAGTGTACATGGAACTGAGGGTCATTGAAGGTACATAGAACTGAAGCCAAAAACTTCTATCCTTGAATCAAAACCCCCTTTTACTGGGGTTTTGATTTAACTGCAAAAGAGTTCTAGGGTTGCTGATATTACCTGAGATCTGTGAATTTGCTTCTGTTCACTTACACTCTTGCATTTGGTGTTCAAGTGTATTTTATGCTGGAATTCAGCACAGAGAAGACCATAACTGTGAGCAGTCCAGCAGGTTGGAGCTGGCTCTGCTGAGAGATTAATGCAAATAAATGCTCTAGTTCTCCCTGGTCAAGCTTTTTACACTTCATCTGTTTGCACTGAATACAATGGCTAAAAAAATAGTAAGTGAAAATTACTTTATAATGTTGAAGTTAAAGTTGTTTTTTTTTTTTCAGCTAAATCTTAGCATGAAAAAGGATGATTGATATCTTTTTCTTGTCTATGCTACAAATTTTACCATACTGGGTCATCTCAGCTGTTCTCAACTTCCTCTTAAACTGAGGGATTTTATTTTTCTTTTTCTTAATGATAACTAAATAAAACTAGAAATCCATTCATTGAAGTTTTGGAATGAAATACTTTTCATTCTGTGTTCTCTTCTTACACATATGCTGGAGGAGGAGGATTCTTTTGGCAAGTGAGGGAAAAAAAGAACTGAATTTGCAGGAGTCTCTCGGTGCTCCCAGTGCATCAGATGATGAGCTACTTGCAAAGTCTTGCTGAAAGTGAACCTGCAGGTGCATCTCCTCACTCAGACTCTGATTTTGTGATTTTGTTGGAGTCCAACAGCACTTGGGAAATGGCATTGCCATTGCAATACAACAGGGTGTTGTGCTGTTCAGGGCAGGATTTGGTTCAGTATTTCCTGTGATCAGATTTAAAGCTGCAAAAGCTTGAAGAAAAGCTGCCTGGCCAGCAGTTGCTCACTGAGGATTTTTCTTTCAAAGCTTTTGTATCTACTGAGAGTTAAATGGGGGTCAGTGGAGAATTTAAAGTTGAGAATTAATTAGAGTAGGGTGAAGCAGTAAAACACTTGGTGGAGGAAATCATTGAGGACATCATTGAAGGGCAGAGAAGTCAAATATTAAAAAGAGGTAAGTTATTGTAGAAAATATACTAAGACAATGCGGTGAGAGTCCCACCTAGTCATTCTTAGCATGAAATAATGTGTTAGAATTATATGTGTCAAGTACATAAGATTATAGTCACTCACTACTTGAAAATAGTGGTAGAAATATCTGTGTGATCTGGTAATACACATTTAATAACTGAATTGGAGAGAATTTATTTTGCTAATAAGTCAACACTTTCTTTAGAAACTAAAGGGAAAGAGAAAGCCTTTAAAAATTTTACTTGAATATTCTACAGAATAACACAGCTAATACTGTGCCTTACTATTAATTAATAACCCCAGATTTGGTTATCAGGTGGAATCTTGGCACCACTGAGATCGGTGCTAAAAATTCTGTTGTCATATTGAGAAAATAATGTTATTGGGAGAATAATTTCATCCTTTTAATCAGTTTTTGCCAGATATGTGGTGCCTTTACCAGTGCCTTTGCACATTCTTTTTTTTTTTATCCTGAATTAATCTATCACACTAGAACATGTTGTGAATGTCAAAGGATACTGTATATCAGCATACATAGTGATACAGAATTAGCATATTCTCATGAAAGATAATAATGTAGTGTTAGGAAATGAGTCCTAGACATGTCAATGATGAGTGACAGGAACTCACATTGCACTGGATAGGCAGATGTTATGAATAATAGTTTGCTTAGTGAGTGTAGACATTTCTGTGTCTCAGCTGGGCCTGCAGGTTTCAAAGGAAGGTCTCAAATGCTTATTTTTCTTTCTATTGCATCTTGATTAGCTTGATGCAAACTGAAGATTGGAGGGAGATGATATGGACTGTGCTAAAGGAACTGAAGATAATCAGTAAATGTAGTCTTTCAGCCATTCCTCTCCCCAGTCATCCTTTAAGCCAATATAGCTGTAGCTGGATTTGTGGAATGTTTTAAAGCCCATCTGCACTCACACCTGAGCCCAAGCTGAATGTACTTGCTTAATCTCATGTAGACTTGATTTATATGGTGGTAGGTGACGAAAGAGTGAACTGGGAAAGAATTTAATTCTAGATCTTGGTATGTTGCCATTAGTAAAAAAAAAAAACAAAACCAAAAAAACTCAAAATGTGGTGTTCTGTTGTGACTCTTTATTTCCCTTCACCATAGGACAGCTTTCTGGATTCCTCTTCCTTCTTTCTTGTGAAATGGAAGACAATCACAAGACAACCTCTAATGGAGTCTCTGCTGAATCCTGCCATCAAGAGGACACTGATTTCTGACTTCCAAAGCTCCCTCTTGAAGACTTTCTTACATTAAATAATATTTCGAGGAAAACTAGCTTTTGAATGTCACAGTGTTGCTTATTAGTGGTTGGTAGGTGTCAATGTGCTAATAGACACAAAGACTTCATAAAAAAAAATAAAATCAATAAATCTCAGTAGCAAAGAGAAAGTTTTGCTGTTTGCATTATTCTGGCTGCAGCACAGTGGATCTGAGGAACCCAGGTGTGGGAGAGAGAAATGGTGCTTTCAACAAGGAATACTGGTGGGAGAAAAGGGAGGGACAGGAATAGTGTCTGCAAAGAAAATATAACAAGAAGAGAGCTTTTAGCTCAGCCAGGATCACACAGAACACGGAGAGGATGCAAAGGCAGACCACAGAACTGATTAAAGAAAGAATTCTTTCAGTTCTTCTAAGTGAAGTGTAAAAGATGTTTTAGAACCAGAAAGCCATTGAAAAGTCATTTCATTGACATCCCAAAGGAGAAGACCCATCTTGAACAGGTGTGGTAAGCACTTAACCGATTTTATTTTTGTATTTTTTTCTATCATATGCTTCGTTTTCTTTCACTGACAGCGGTCATTGTTCTCACACCTGCTCTGATGTGACAACAACATGTACAATAAAACCTTACCAGGGAGTTTATAAAACTTTTTTTGTAAACTTGTATGCTTGATGTTAGCAAAAAGTGAAAGTAGTACCACTATTTCTTTATTACTTCAATCAAGTAAAATATCAATTAATATTTTGAATATGATAAATAATGGTGCTTGTTCTTTCTTCCGCCCTCAAAATTAAAGATGCATTGCATCAGTGATAATCTTGATAAAAAAATAATCTCTTTTTATGAAAGTCTTTTGCTGTTTAAGCAGAGGAATGGATTCAGAGTGAATAAAAACTTTAAATCTGATTTAAATGTTTTTGCTTTTTTACAACCCAGCGTTACAAAGCCAGTAGACAAAGCAATAAACTCTGTGTGTTTCAAGTATTCTACACTCTCTTCTGATTATCCAAGTGTAGCTTTATTTTCCTATTCACTTGTTGTGAAGGAATTCAGAGTCATTAACAACTGATGTCTGAAGGTGCCATCAACCCAGTGACTTGATGGTGTCAATAAAATTTGTACAAGGCTCCAATCTCAGAAACTACTGTATTGACTCAGTCTAAATAATGTAATATTTCCTGAGACAGTAAACCAAGAACATTTAGGGAATCTTGTTAAAGAACAAGAAAAATGCTAAGAAATTTTATTTTCTAGAGGGAGATAAAAGTCTGGAGATGAACAAAGATTGTGTCTGACCTCTGAGATTTCATGGCAGAGCATTTTTATTGACCAGTTCTTTTTAACTGTGGTGGCAGAACTGGGGATATGGTGTTTGTCAAGGCCTTGCCAACTCATGCTGTGTTGTGTTTCTTTGCCTGCAGCTAAGTTTATTGCTCACTCAAAGCCTAAAATAAATAATAAAATAGAGCGAATGTAATCTTGGAAAAAAACACAACCCCTCCAAGAAATTGGACTACACAGTCTACTAAGGCTTTCTGAATAAACATGAATCTAAACACTTGAATTTAAACAAAATACTATTCCTATTTCTGTAAATGATCCATCTTTCTCACACAAAGAATTAAAAAGTGTTAAACTCTCTTATTAAAGAGCTCATACTGCGGGATTCTAATGATCTCTCAATATTTTGTGACCTCAGAAACCGTTTCCTCTTCTTTTCTAAAGAAAGCTGTTGAAACTTAAAACAAGCTCCCTCATGCACATCTGCAAACAAGTCAAAATAAACCTTTGCTTAGATGACTTTTGGTCTAGGACTATCAAAATTTTCCATTTTAGGTTAAAATCTTTAGTTCTTTAGATGAAATAACTTTGGTTCTTTAGATGAAACTGGATGAGCAAGAAAAAGCCAACATCCATGACAGCAACAGTCAGGTTTTCTCATATGAAGGAGAAGCTTCTTATCAGTTCCTTGTTTCCATTTGGCTTCAGATTTAGCAGAACAGTATTGTTAAAATATGCTGTTCATCTCTGCTTCTAGAAGATCAGTAGATAAGACTAAGTATAATAAAAATAAAAGATATTTCTGGGATAGGGGATGAAACCACTAAGTGTAACCACTCAGGGCATGTGACCTGAGCTTTGCCTTTGAATTCCATTGTCATAAAACCAAACTCAGAAAAAGAAAAAAATCCAGCCTTTTGAGGTATGATTACTTAAGCATTTTGCCAAAAGAAAAGTATAAATATTATAAAACTGAAAATGCAAATTTTGAAGAAATAGAACATCTGGTGCCAATTGCTTATAATTATTTTGCAAATGATGTTTTTCCCAGTGGCATTATATTGTTCTAATTGATTTCCCAATATTTGACAAACATATAAACACACAATGCATGCCAATCATTAAAATTACTCTAATAATAAAAAACACCTCAGCATTCGCACTGTTAAGCAGTGAAATTATTTGGCAGGTTAGTTATCAAAGAAATGTCTTGCTGAAGCTCATGCAGACATTTCTGGGCTATTCTTGTTGGAACAGATATGCAAGTGAGCAACCTGTGTTTATATTTGTTGTGCCAGTGACACAAGGAAAAGTAGAAGAGGTTCTGGAGTCAAAATGTAAACACCCAGTTAGGAAGTTGGTGCTTTGAAAGGTTTCCAGATAGGAAGGTGGAAATGCAGCATTTGAAGATGTAGCTGAGGAAATAAATATGCTCTGTGGAAAATGAATGAGCTTCATTAGAAAATGGAGGAATTCTTTAAATAAAGGACTAGGTAGAGGAGGAATAATAAACATTAAATTGAATTGTTGGACTTAAATACAGAGAGAAAAGCAAGGAAATCTGTATTAGGTGAAGATGCCTTTAGCTTCTGTGACTTAGACCTGTGTGGCCATACCAAGTTTTAAAACTTTATGGTTTTGTTTTACAGCTGCAAAGCAGATTATACTAACACAGGAAAAGAGTTTTAGTAATTTATATACATTATCCTACAGCCAGATTATAAGCATTTGAATGTGCTGACCACAAAGCAAACCCATCAAATATTTAAAGGAAGATGCCAGCAAGAAATGTGATTTATAGCGGACCTTGAATGTGAATAAGTTTCCTGGTAAGAGTTTTGATCAGAGTAATGATTTTTACTGTTTAAATAGTTACACTGATGCAATCTCCATGATGAATATTTAGACTGCAATAAAATAAAAGTATGTTTATGTAAGTAAGTTAACTCTCCTATGGATATGTAAATATCTTCATATCTCTATAATGTTCCATTTGGTCGTTCGGTAATTAAGATAATTATGGACAAGGTCACAGGAACAGAGTTCTCTCTAATGGATTGGCTTTTACACTCTTGAGAAGTTCAGCACCCAGGAATTCATGGATAAAATAAAGTGTACACCCTTGGAAAAATATTTTCTCCTACATAATGAATAAGGAGTGATGAATTTAGAGTCTGGTCAGCAGAACAATCCTGCTAAATGTTTCCCCCAGTAGGTTCTTTTGCTGTTCTGTTGGTTTGTACATTCTCCACTGAATGTTCAGCCTGAGCTGGGTGTATTTGTACAAACCACCTTGCTGATTAAAGGTCAAGTTTTATAGGGCCTGAAAGGAACATCAGGGTTTTTTTTTTTACTTTTTTACAATTTCACTGTTGCATTTCTCATTACTGCTGTCGTCACAGTGTTTACAGAAGTGGTCTTGATATTTTTGCAGTAGAACTTAATACTACAGTGAATGTTGGTTTGCAAGATAGATAAGGTTCCAGTGAATCCATTCTTATGGCATTGTGAGACTCCAGATAACACCAACAAAAATAGGTTTGGGAAAATTTAACAATAACATGCAATTTATGTGATGCTGGTGTAACTGAAGGTTATTTCTGCTAAGGATAGTAATAGCAACAGAAACTTACTGTATTGACAAAAAGTACAGTAAATTTCCATCCTATGTAAATGAGTTGTCTCTGTAAATGAGATATGTGAGTAAATATCAAGTCTGCACAAAGAACCCTGTGTACGTGTGATGTGTGTGTTTATGTATGTCCACCAAGGACAAGCAGAAATAGAAACTGGATTTTGAGTTTAGGAATGGTTCATACTTTCCTCAATTTTCTCTAATACTCTGATGACAAAGTGCCACCTCTGCATGTTCAACAGTAATAGAAGCAAAAATCAATGGATTTCTTGTGAGTTTGCAAATCTTCATAGTGCCATGTCAATGTTTGAATTCGCTGAAAGACAAAGAAGGGTCTTTTACTTTTTGAAATATTTTGGTGCATGTCCAAACTGTTTGGTGTTAATGTCTTGCTGAATCTATTCTTGTATTTGCTGAAAATTGGAATGTACATACTGTATAAAAAGAGTATTGCCCTGTCTGCTGCACCACTGTTCAGGTGGGTGGCAGTTTTTAAAGAGACCAAAACTTTATATTGCACATATATTATATATATACTGCATATATACAGCACTTTATATTTATATTACACATTGTTTGGAAAATGACAGTGGCACATTTAAAATTGAATACATGTGCCAGCCTTTATCAAATTCTCATTAATATTGCAGCCCTGACTTCTGCACTCAGTAAGAAACATTAGCTTGGGAAGGACAAAAATCATTGACATAAAATTCAATGAATTCACAGAAAAAGGTCTCTGTTGCCAAAAAGTTAAATTTTAAAAAAAAAAAAATATTCTGAGGTTTTTGGCTTTTAAAACTTTTTTTTAATATAGGCATTTTAATATTTTAAAATAGACTTATGAGTTTTCATAACTGTGACTTAACTTCCCTTGCGGGTCATTTCAAAGGTGTTGATACAAAGGTTGTTTTCCAGTTGTAGCTTGTCCTGTTACACTCAATTTTAACAACCTGACATGTACCCAAGACCCCTCTTGTCTTCAGGGTATGTATCCACTCTTACTTTATTGTTGGTAGTTGCATATTTGCTTCTAATAAGTTCAGGAATAATTTTCCACTCCAATTTGTTTCTCTTTTGGAATTTTAGGGATTTAATTCTACAGTTTAGTTTAGTACAAATTCAAATATGGTATCAAAAAGCTGAGATACAAGAACTTAAACTGTTAGACTGGCCAGCTTGTTGCCTTTTTTAAGTGAGAAGTGAAGAAATTCTGGTTCCACTGAAGAGGAAAATATATTTCAGCTGTAAGACTAAGCAGACTGTGCCCAATGCCTTGCATAATCACAATACTTGGTGTGAATTTTGTTGTTTGTGTTTCCTTAAAACTTTCCCTGATTCCCCTGATGTCAATACACTTAATGAGTTGTAAATCAGTGCAAAATTTAGCTTCTACCTGAAGCACTAAACCAACAAAAGCAAAGCAATTCTGAATTCACTAAATCTTAATGTTGTTTTAAAATAGTTTTTAATGGGGTTAATTTCTTTAGGTTTTTCTTTCTCTCAGGGTACTATAACTTGATTAATATAGTTTCCTTTCATTTTGACATTGTAACAGGGTCTCATTAGGCCTGCAATGAAATTGAATTGCCGTCATAATATCACATCATAAAGGCATATTAACAAAATCTCTATAGACTTCTATTGGAATCATTTTTCCATCATAACCTTAATGTCATTGAAGAAGGCTCTTCCTGAGTGTAGGGAGAAAGCAGGGGAAGAAACAAACTGGCTCTGGGACTCTCATTTACAAGACCCAGATTTGTCTTGTATTTCTTCCCAGTTACAGCAAGCTAACTAGTTTAAATTTTACAAATAAGTTCTGTGTAGTATGTCAGTTATAAATCCAATCAATTCTATTGCTTATTCTTTTGAGAATTTATGTTTTCAACCCTTAAAAGTCTTATAAGCCCGTTATGTTTTGCTATTTTGTAGAATGCTCTTCATAACTCCTGTTCTTCTTACTTAGACAAGCAAAATCAGTGTTACCCATTTATAAAATGACAAGATATCACTGACATCTTTTGGTGGCAGGCAGGAGTTGACAAACTTTCTGCTACCTTTTGATCCTTCCTTGTCTTGTCCATAAGACAGATTTTAAACTTCTTCACTAATTTCCTGGCTTTAGGTCTGATTGCTTGGCTGCATTCTAAAAAGCTGAACTAAAACTCTTTTTGCCAACTGATTACAGGGCAGAATTTAAAACTCAGGGAACATTTTCTGAAGGTTTTTGGAGACTATTGCAAAAGTTTATTTTCTGGACTGAGTTACTGTCTTTCATTACCCTTAATTGTTTTCACAGTGTCTGGGTGCGTTAATCAAGGCATAAACTCAGACAGTGGGTGGTCCATAAAGTTAGACATATATATTAAATCTTATTAATAGGAGTAACATATTTTAATGGAAATGAAAATATCTGCTTCAGTAGAGAACAGATAATTTATAAAAAATCTAAATGGCTAATTAATTTCATGAAACTATGGTGTTTCTTCTACCATACTCTGTCCTTTTGCAAATGGTCTAATACATGAGAGCTTTAAAGAAGTTTAGCTGTAATATCAAAATATATGCTCTAGATGGAATCTTTTCCAGTCATTCCAGAGACAGGAAAGAGGACATGGTAGGAAAGGTTCAGATTCTGGTCAAATCTTTCTAGTTTTCACCAAAAGGTGAAATCCATGATTCCTCTCACTCATCTTAAAATTTTCAATCACACTGAAAAGAAGGTGGAAAGAAATGATTCCTATGAGGAGTAAATGAGTCTCATCACTGGTGGAAGTGCCAGTCTCCAAAACAGAGTGAATGAACAAGGGCCATTTAGGAACACCACCAATCTCCTCATTTGTAAAAAAGTCTAATTCCACAAAGCACATGTGTAAGCTTGAAGGTTTGCATAAGCAATGGAACTCTTCTAAATTCCTTACTCCCTCCCAGCTGGAGCCACTGGGTCTGTACCTTCTATAGTGGTGTAAAGTGCCTGGTAAATTTAATATTCCTCTTACTAAAACTTTTTTAATTGTATTACTTTTTTGTCTTAGCATTTTGCTTGTTATTAAGTTTTTGTGCTGCTTGGTCACTGAACAATTGCAGTTCACAGCACAGAATACAGATGCTTTGGAAGATTGTAGGCTACAAAACACAGCCTTGCAAATTGAAATATCTGAAGACATTTGCATGATTAACTCCCTGACTATCCTGGGATGATTAGATCTGCCAAAGTCGCATGTTTAAAGCATTCAGCCAATTTAATCAGTCTGAAAAGGCTTAATTTATTTCCAAGTGTTTAGTGTGATTATTGGTTTAAATCATAAACAAAAGTTAACCACAACAAAAAAAAAGCTGTGGGTGGTGCATCACTTACAACTTTATGTAGCGAGGCATGCTGATATTTCATGGCATATTCTGACACCGAAGGAGAAGTATATGCATATTTTTTTCATATTGGCAACTGTGTATTATGTTAAAATAAAATATGTAGCAAAAGCAACACCTCCCTCCTTAACTCAGCCCCCACTCCCCTTGCAGCCTGTATGATCACAGCCTGAGTCTTCACAGCTCCTGAACCATTGAAGGGAGTTTTCAGTACAGAACTACAGAGCTCTGAGAAATGATGTGACAAGCAGTTCTCCTTCTCCCTCACTTTCTTTCTCTCTTGAGTATTCTTCCCAGTGCTTTTAAACAAGAAAGAAAATTAATTTAGGTGCTACTCAGCACTGTTTATAAGGAGCATTGAAATCCAGGAAAATGTCTAATTATAATGGGTTTTGTTGCTGTTTGACATACAACACAAAAGCAGTCTGAATTTTTCAGAGGGCATCCTTTATGAAGACACTATTAATCCAAGGAACAATGGCATCATTTATTAACTTAGGCTGGTTATCATTCTAGGCTTTTGTGTTTTGAGGGTATCACTGAAACATTAACTGACTGGTACATGCAGTATGCCTATAAGGTAGGTAAATAACATTAGAATTGATGAAATGTGTATCCCCAAATAATTGTTTGATGGAAAATTGTCTGGTATTATTCAGAACATTTACTGAGACGACTTGGGAGATGTTTCTCAGGTTTACATTGAGCAACTAAGAGTGCTGAAGATGAGGAGTTTGCCTGCTGTCAGAGAAAGCCAGTGAGAGAAGTGAGCTACAAATCACGGTCTTTATTGCTGCACTGTGTCTTTAAGTATACCA